AGTATGATATAGCATTTGCGATCAACAAGATGTTGGTTCTGAATACGACCCTGGCCAATTCTTGGGATTTTCAATATCACGTGCGTGGGGCATGTCAATGTTTACATCCACTCTATCTTGGATTTGAATTTGCTTTAGTATTTTTCGTTCGTTATTGTTTTAAGCTTATTTAAAAAATTACTTTTAACTTTTCAGTTCGATGTTCTTTAAAAGCGTGTTCTTTAGTTTTTAAAACTATATTTATTTATTTTCTAGTTCTTTCTTACATCAATTGAAACGGGTGTACCACCTTATCAAAATTATAGATGAAGTCATACGTTTATTTTATGTCATTGTGTTGGTCCTAATTATTATGTTCTGCTACAGTGTCCTTATTTATTCTTCATGGGTATCTAACTTATCTAACGATTTTAAAATTGAATTATAGTTCTAACATGGAAAAACTCCTATTCTGCGAGTAATTATAATATAATGTCATTATTACTTCTTACAACATTGAAAAACGACTACAGTAATAACGTTTGTCGCAAGTATGTTTTATAAAATTCATTGCTGCGGAGCCCTAAAAGAGAATTCAATTGAAGTCGAAACGTTGAACATTTTCCAAGTATTTTGATCCTGTTACCAAAAAAATTCATTTAGAAATAAGTCATTTGCATTACTAGACTAATTAACCTCAGATAAATCGGTAAGAAATACTTAGTAGCCTGTATTTAAAAAAAAGCGAACCTTTTCCATTGAAAATACATTACAAAAATTCAGGTTGAAAGTTGATGAAAACCAATTTTCTTTATATCAACTTCTTATCAACTGATAAGATGATAACTCGATATTTCCTGACATTTGAAAGTCTCATAGATGTCATCTGTATAAATAAGGAATTACTGGTAAGAAGTTTTAATACTATTGATATGAATGGTATTACAGACCACCTAATGGTCAGCTGCGTAACCAGCTTTCGAAATGAACAATTACCTACTGATTTAATATACTTCAGAAGTTACAAAAACTTCGATGTCACTAATTTTTATAACGACGCTGTGAATATTCCATGGGGTGATATTGTTAATTTACAAAACATGAACTCTAAAGTAAACTTTTTAAATGATTGTATAATACATCTATTTGATAAACATGCTCCTATGTGCAGGTTAAACTGTACGTAAAATAGTCAAAAACAAAACTTATGAACGTGAACGCGATGTGATTACCAAAACCTTTAAATCTTCATCTAATAAAATCATTGAAAAAACAATATACGACTGTTACAAAATCAATAAGATTCCTACAACTGAAATCATAAGGAAGAAATTTAATACCTCCGGCTATAACGTGAGCTGCTGAGACAAAACTCTTCAGAGTTGGATAAAAAAACTTGTATTCATATTTAAAATAATAAACATACGTCAATCAGTTATGGAAAGCAGAAGAATAGTGGAATTGCATAACAAAGCCTTAGAACAAATAGTTAAATATAGACAAGAACAACAGCAAATTTTCTATTTGGACAAAACTTGGTATAACACTCACGACACACGAGAATGTGTACACCTAACATGTCCGCTGTAAAGGATGGGTTCTGAATTCTTTGAAATTATGTGGAAAAAACTAGAGGACTGCAATATTGACTATCATAAGAACATGGAACACATCGATCCCAAATTTGGATGCGATGACATGTGACACGTTTTTGATTACGACCGTCAAATTTATCATAGAACAAAGAACGACAATCATAGGCATACGTTAATGAGTCACCTGGTTCTACCCCGCTCCCTTTCAGATATCTACCTCGATAAAAAAATATCTTGTGGCAACACTGAGCCCAACCCAAGGGATAGTTTTGATGTACAAACACTTTGCGGAAACTGTTGCCAAGGAAAACGTTATCAAAACGCTAATGTTTGTGAATTGTACAGATAAGAATCTACATGTTCATTTTGCTTTCCTTGGCGAAGTTTATATCGCGAGATAAAATACTTCAGTAGAAGTACTTAGGAGTATAGCGTTTTCAACAATTGCGTAGGTGATTTAATGAACAATGCTGTGTCGCGTCGTTACTTTGAAGTCCTTTGCCCATTGGCGTAACTGAAATGAAAGTCTAGGGAGGCTATATTAGTATAGAGCAGGGGTCTCCAAACGACGGTCCGTGGGCCAAATCCGGCCCGCCAGTGTCATCAATCCGGCCCGCGACAGCCAATGATTNAATTGGAAGAATCTCGGACAGTCAAGCGGCTTTGGAAGCTCTTGGCTCCTACCGAGCAACGTCTAAATTGGTAGCAAACTGCCAAAAACAACTCTCCTCGATATGAAGACTTGTCTCTGGTCTGGATTCCTGGCCATACTGGCCTGGAAGGCAATGAGGCTGTTGACTCCCTTGCAAAGGAAGGTGCAAGCAGTTCAATTAGATCCTTTTTCACGTTATCGAGGAATTTTTTAAAAGACTATTCACCCAAATCAACGTGTAACCAAAATCTCTCCACTCATATCATCTCCTACAGAATGTTCTGAAATAATGATAAACGCATTACATGTAATGAAATTATATTTAAAAGAATCAACTATAAAATATAACTTCGTTTCCTGGCAGACCTCTGATTCCTAAATTCTCAACAACAAACACACATCCAGCGTCCGGTTCTTCCGGCAGTTGATTCTCTTTGAGGTGTAATCTGGAAGTAGTCACGAAAAGATCAGCGAATTGGGGGCCTCCAAAACACACTGACGTCACATACTTCACGGGCATTTCAATGCGATTCACTATCTGGCCCGTCCGAGGATCAACATTTATCACCTGAAAGAGAGATCTAATATATAATAATGATTAGTGTGTAAAAGTTACTTTCCGGGTTTTTTGGCAGCCGTCTGCAAGTTTTTAATGCCTGACGTTTCTACTACTACTGCGGGAGACACCATCAAAGCGATGTGGTAACGGTCGCAGTGCCCCAGCCTGATGCTCGAGTTATCGTTCCCGTTCCAAACGCGGTTACTACTATGATCGTATTTGACTCTGGTTCTATATTACTAGCGGGCGTGACAACACCCGGTATACGCCAGGAGTTGCCAAAGGTTCTCTGGGGTCCGTAGTCATCCTTATAGTTTCTCTGATAGTTTTTGTCGGTCTAAATATTGGTTTCACGTTGTGTTCGGGCCAACAAAAACGCGCACGCCTAACGGTCAACACCCACGCAAAGCAACGTATTTTAATATGTCATTGTCGAATACTTCGCTTCCCCATTACTCCCACCTTTGGATGTTAACTCCACAACACGTAACTCCCCGACACCTTTGGATGCCATCTCCTCCTTCTTCTGATGATGCTAACCTGGTTAACAAAGATACGACTTAGTGTCCTTCTGACATGTTGAAATGCATGTAAAAACGTTAGACTCTCCTAGTTATCACCGTCATCTCATTACCATTCAATTTTTATCGAGTCGTATTCCTAACCCTTCATGCTTAATTCTGAAACCGGCAACGTTTCATTGCCCGATAAACAACGATTTATTTTACAACCGACAACACCGAACCTGTAATGCTTGCGCTGGCCCTCACTGGCTGCCTTATCTCTACAACGGATCACCTCGATACCATCTCCATCTCGCTCTAATAAGTCAAACCGTCCTCTCACTCTTACACACACACACACCTTTTTATGAAACATCAATTCTGACGTCACAATTTCCCTTAAATTCTACGGAAATCAAGAAATGAGGTTAAGTATAGAAAATGAGTCAATTTCAGTCCTGACAAAACAACCGCAGGCCCCACTAATATCAACAATTCGCAATTACTTCCAAGATCTCACGTTGGTGTCGAAGCTAAGGACAAAGCCGAACACGCCGACGACCTGGGTTCGATTCTCATACCCAGCGTTTTTTTTTTAAATTCTATTTCCCTCAGATGCCAATGACCACGCGACTGGTACCTGACAAGGGGACCCGAGGGGTGAGGCGGAGGCACACGCTCTTTGAATCACTCCGATACTCATTCTATCCTCTGCATCGATTACGTCACACGTATCTTTCTCCCACTCACTAAAGTCTCTCCGAAACACATTTACTTCGAGTTAGGTTCCGATCGGATGTCTTGAAAATTGCAAAAAATTTAGTGCCTTAAGAAAATACATGGGATTTTGAGCCAGAACCTGCCTTGTTCATCTACTCTTGTCTTTCACTAGTTCGGACTTCCATTGTCTACTATATAAAATGATTTGAAATCCCTGAAATAAGTAAAAAAGAAGAATTAAAAATGGATAGCTGAAAATAAGAATTATATTAACCAAAATAAACCTGAAATGAAATAATAGTGAAATAAAATACAAGTAAAAATAGAAAGAAAATAAAAATAAAAAGTGGAGCGATTCCAAGTCACGTTAGTTCACGACGTTTCGATTGTTAGTATCTACAATCGTCTTCGGGTGATGACTGGACTGATTCCTCCGAGAGATGACTATTTTATAGGTCGTTGAAATACTTTC